CAAATTCCAGGTCACCAAATCGTAGGGGTGCCTCCTATGCTAATGCAATCCTAAGGCGCAATGACAAATTAGGTACCTACATACATGCATACTTAAAGATAAGAACCATACATACACCACAGTAGGCAGTACCTAATCCCTACATTTGCACCCTACATACACTATGTAGGTAGACATCCGTATTAATCTTCATCCTGTCTTACTCTATCTTCGGGATTGTACATACTTCATCTTAAACGGTGTAAATACACAGTCGTACCTAATATCTATCTCAATCGGGAACCGTTGGCTTATGTCCGCGATGGAGGCGTCTAATGATTCTATTGTCGATACGGCGCCGCCGTTGCCGAAAGACATGTCTCACCACTATTCAGATGTAACGAAGGCTCGATTCCCAAGTAGAATGAAGGAATTCTATAAATACTTCCTAATACCGAACATCGGCCAGCTTGCAGGTGGTACGAATTACCTATCATCGTCCTACCTTATCAGCCCTCGTACCGATTTTTAAGGCTAACATTCAACTTAATAATAGGTCTCCCTAATGCACAACTCTTCCCCTTCGACACCTTGGAGGCCCAGACCGCGAAACCAGACCGATGGACCCCGACGCCCAACTATCCGGACCCCGATGGCACGCTATCTTCCCAACTGGCCGCAACATCCATCTCAAAACGGGCCGCAGCCTCACATGTCGTCGTACCTCACGATGCCCCGGCATCAGACCCGAGGAAGAGGATAGATCTCGCTTCTGCCTTACAATACGGCCAGGCTGATGGATACCCGCCGCTGCTTTCCTTCATCCGCGAATTCACGCGGGATTACCTACATCCAAATGTGCCTTATAGAGGCGGACCGGAGGCTATATTCACAGTCGGTGCAACGGACGGCATGTCCAAGACACTAGAGGTATTCAGCAACGTTTGGGTAGAAGGGAAGAATGATATCCGGGAGCGGCCAGGCTTGCTGTGCGAAGTTTTTATGTACGTAAATGTGCTCACCCAGGCACAGCCCCGGGGCATCCAAGCCGTACCCATCGAAATGGATGACGGGGGTATGTTGCCGTATGGTCCTGGAAGTTTGGAGGATGTCCTTGCAAACTGGGATCACAGCAAGGGGAAACGCCCGCATTTGCTGTATACCGTAACGTGAGTTTTCCCCTGCCCAATTATCCATTTATGAGACGTAGCGTCCTTGAACGCCAAATTCCATAACATGGTCCTACTTTGGAAAATGCGCAGCTTACTGAACATAATTCTGTAGAATGGGCCATAACCCAACAAGCGGTGTTCTATCTCTCGAAAGGAGGAAGGAACTGTACTCGATCTGCAGCAAATACGACGTGATTATCATTGAGGATGACCCCTATTGGTACCTCCAGTACCCTTCGGCAGCGGTTGAGGAGGCAAAAGCGAGAGGTTTACCCATCCCCGAACCAAAAGTGGCGAATACTCTTGAAAAGAAATCTGGATATGAATACCTGGATTCTCTTGCGCCATCATTCCTGAGTGTCGATATAGACGGGCGGGTTGTGAGATTGGATACTTTCTCCAAGATCATAGCTCCTGGCTGCCGGATGGGATGGATTACCTCGAGCCCGGCCATTTGTGAACGTATCCTCCGCGTTAGCGAGACGGGCACACAGCAGCCCTCTGGCTTTGTCCAGGTTGTAGTCGCCGAAACTGTAATGGGACCGCAACCCGAGGCATCAGCCGCATTTGCAGCCCGATCCGCGAGGGATCGAGCTACTTTCAGCGGCTGGAAAATGGATGGCTGGGTGCGATGGTTAGCCGGCCTGCGGGGCCAGTACGAGAGGCGCATGAACCGCATGTGCAAGATCCTCGAAGAGAATGCGTACCAACTAAAGCAGTCGACGCCTATGCGCGAGTCCGATTCTGATTGGGGTGTCATTACCAAGACCCAGCTCTACGACTTCCGATGGCCCCGCGGCGGCATGTTCCTGTGGCTTCGCATGCGCTTCGAGACGCACCCGCTGTGGAAAGCCGCCGGGTCCCACGGCAACATCATCAACGGTGTTGCGCTGTCCACCGCATTCATGATCTTCCTCACGCGCAAGCCGTTCCGAGTCCTAGTCAGTCCCGGCCTAATGTTCAGCGCGACCGACCAAATCCGCAACGAGCGTGGCTGGGCGTATTACAGGCTGTGCTTCGCGGCAGAGTCGGAGGAGAATATCGACAAGTGCTCCCTGCGCTTCGGCCAGGGCGTCCAGAGGTTCTGGCGTATCAAGAATGTGAAAGACCTCGAGGCCCTACTTGATGATGCTAGTGCGGCACAGACTGAGGAGAAAGATGAGGTGGACCTAGTGAATTTGGGGAGTTGGATGGGATGTTAGGGTTTTTGCACAAATATATAAAGGGATGTAGGTACAAACAAGTTGGGCGGTCAAACTTGTAAGACATATCACGTGTATGACCTAAGCGAGTACCTGCACTATGAAATATAGCTGCTCATGAAGTCAAATTTTGGATATATTAGATAGTATTTGGGTATATATTTACTTTGGGGATAGAACATATTTCAATGTCGAACAAATGGAATGAATAAATTTCTTCGATCATAATTGTCTTTTAGGCATCGAGTTCCGATGATATGAGCGGCATTTAGTGGGTGGTCTTACCTATTAGCTGGCTCGTCACAAATGCGTTATAAGTGTTTCATTAGGCCATAGGTTATATCCGACGACAATTAAACCGAGACAAAGTAGTTACAGCAAGACCGGAGCTTAGCGAATGACAACGAGCACAATTACGGCACACAAACTTATAGAGCATTAAAGAACGAGCTTGATAGATTACCCCAGAGGGGCTTGCTATGATGCATAGACGATCACCAACGAGGTGGGAAGTGGCGATCATAATAAGAATGTCATTGATTGATTCATCAGTCCCTATGACCCAGTACGCCGTGACTATTGCAACCGATTTACCGTTTCCCATCCCCTAGACTACGCTGCTCACCAAGCGAGTCCAATCTAATCCTCACGGAGGACTTCCAAGAAAGTCTTGGGGGGCTTAGGGGGCTTGCCAGCCTCTGCCTTCTGCTGACCAACCTTGTCCTTGACGAAAGTGGCGTGGTAAGGGTTGAAGCGTAGCAGAACTTGCTTGTTGCGTAGAGGGTTCTTCTGCACGGCAGCACGCTTGGTCAAGGGACCACCCTTGGGGGCGTTGAGGACGCTCTGGATTTCGGAGCTGTTGATCAGACGGCTCAGATCAGACTGAGAAACCAGGTTGGCAGGTAGAAGGAAGTCCTTCTTCAGCTCTGAGGGCTTGGTGGTAGTGCCGTAGATCTTGTCGAGGGCCTTGAAAGCGGCCGAGGTCCAGACGATGAATCGTCCGAGATGACCACCAGGGGCGAGCTGGAGGAGGTTCAGGGCGTAGACAGAGCTGGTCTCGACACCGGGAAGGTTGCGGGTACCAGTAACAAGCTCCTTACCATCAACCTCAGGATCGTAGATGACCAAAGGTCCACGTCGCTGGCGGTGGCGGCGGCCTCTTAGCTTACCCTTACCAGCGCGTAGCTTCTTCGTCTTCTTAGCCTTCTCAATGTCGGCAGAGGCGCCAACAGCGTTCAGGATGGCGAGGGCACCGGCAGTCTTGGCAGCAGCGCCGCCCTCGAAAGCAGCCGAGTCGATGACGAGAGGAACTTCCGGAACGGAAGAGATCTGGTGACCGCGGGCGAGCAGTAGAGGGGGGACAGCGGAAGCGGCAAGAGCAGAGGCAGTAGCGAATCGCCTTTTCAAGGAATTAGTATATATAGTCAGAGGTTAGTCAAATTATATCCACTCACTTCTGGCCCTGGTTGATCTTGATGTGCCACTTTCGCCAGATCTTGGTAGGGGCGAACATGCGACCGGAACGACACATGTTACCGAAGGCAGCCTGACCGGCACGGTGGGTACCACCACCAGACACACGGGGAATACGGGCAACAGCACGACCTGAAGATGACTGTTAGTAATTGCAAAAAATGACTATCTCCAGACCTAGTTCCAACGCGGAGAATCGACCACGTTAGACATTTTAACCCGCATCCTCCCCACGCCTAGATAAAATATGAAGACTACTGACCAGTTCCCCACGATTCAGCAGAGGTTTGGTGACCAGCCTTCTCGCTCACAGCATAGGGCTGTCGCTTGTTCTTGGCCATTCCAGTGTGGACTTGCTGGACGATATCAGGTCGGATCGGGGAGGCAAACACGGTAGGAATGGTATGGGTAGCTCCCGAGGGAGAACCATCCTTGCCGATGATGGTGACAGTCGGTCGAGAGGCCATCGTGAAGGTCGTAATGCTAAAGTGATGTTGGTTAGTCAATTGCGAGCATGGGAGTCGAATTATAGTCGACCAGAATGGATAATTGAAGTGGAATAAAGAGAGTCTAGCTTCCGCGAACCTACCTCGACGCTGGGTGTTGATGGTCTCAAGTTGCGATTTGGTGATGTTGATCTGCGAAAAATCAAAAAGCCCACCACAGAATTATTTTTCTTGTGGGTTTGCGCGAGGGCTAAGCGAATTTTCGGAGGATATGTCCACTTTTCTGCACACCAGTTCTGGTAAATGCATTATGCATCTAAGTGGTAAGATATAATATGCACTTACAGACTATCCTATCACCCCGCATGACTTTAATCGGCATAACTTAAGTCAACGACATGATAATTATATTAATTCGAATCAGGTCTCATTACAGATTAGGTTAGCATATATGTACTTAGCATTCAAAGTGACTTATTAATAACTACTCACACTTCCAAAAGCCTTAATACCTATGACCTGTATATATATCATGTATTTGGAATATTTGTATAAAACATTGCTATCAATAGGCAGCTTTAAAAGTTGCATACTTTAAGCGATAATAAGTCGCTCACTACCTACGCAAGTCCCAACCATATCTCTAGCAAATATACAGCCAAGATAAGAAGAACAAGAAGAATAAATGATAAAAAGAAGAAGGCAGTCTAAATAGATGCAAAAATGAACTCCGAATCGGGGAATCGAACCCCGGGCTTGACGGTCCTTTTTGATTACTCAAATTTGAGAGCGTCAAATGTTAGCCACTACACCAATTCGGATGCTTAGAAGGTTTGGAAATCCTGTTTATATCTTGTTTTCCCGACGGTAAAATCGCGGTTCACAGCCCTTAGTCGCTACTAGGCAAAACTTACGTCATTGGTCGGGAGGTATTCTAGCGATTGTTAGCTCGTTTGTAAGAGATCTAAAAAAAAAACCAATGCCTTCGCTATAATAATAAAAAGTTATGGACCCAATTGAGTTACGCGGACGGCGGGTTGCCTCGGAGTTTAAGTATCGCCTAGGCGGGAGGTTAATTCGTAAGAGGGATGCCACATGCCAGTCAACGACTCAACATAGGATCTTATGTTGAAGCTCTCTAGGACCATTACCCTAGGTAAGATTTATGCCAGCTGTCCCTGCTTGAAACAGGAGGGTGACTTGATTCTGCGATGACAATCTCATATATAAGTGAAGTCAAGCATAATTCTGCGACAGGAATAAAGGCCGAAGCAGTAGCTGCAAACTTAAGTCCACATGGGGCACTGCCACCATCCGATTTCCCTTATCCGGACTGCGAAAGCCTAAGCAAAACCGCATCTATCATATCACATAGGTATCATCAATCTTGCTTATGAGTAGGTATTTCCTACTTTACAATTGCTTCGATAACATTTGCCGGCTTAGATTGTGAGATGGCGGGCGCTAAGATGCGAGAGGAAGTTACAAATTCAAATAGTGCCGAGTTAGAGATGCCGATTGTAAGGGTTTCTACCACTGCAGAAAAATCCAGGTCAAGGGTCCCAAGAGCTAGGTAGCTTTCCCGAGCCGCTGCTGATCCTCGTCGCAAACCATCAATTTTTAAATAGACCCGCCTTATGCACGTGTTTCTATTTGGATAGCTGTCGGATCGAAAAGATCTTATTTCCTTCCACATCCAATAGCGCTTAAAGCCAGAAATATTATTCGCCTATCTGAAGCCTTTAATGTTGCTTATATTCAGACCACATATTAATTACACCGGTGAAATTTCAAGTCCGGTTATTAGCCACTATGACATGACATACGATATATCCTTTTGGAACCATTGAATGGTTGAGACACTGACGACTCTATTTATCTAAACTCGATGTAAGAACCTTATCACTACTATATACCTACGTGCTATAACAAGATATATCGCTCAGACCAAATCTTAACTCAATCGCTCCGAAGACTCGGCAACTCAGCCAGCGCCGTAATAGTCATATAAAAGGCATCTACGTCACCGGCCTTCCGTAAATGTTTGCCTGGAAATGGTGCCAACGGCCGACGGTTTGAAGTCGTTTGGCGTCTTCATACTGGATTCAACTATACCGAGCTAAAGATGCTGTGCTACTAAAAGCTAGACTTAGGTACTTGTCGTTTACAGGTCACTTCTCATACTAATACGGAAAGTTCCCTGTCTCGGTGGCTTACGAAAACGAATTCAGCTGGCCCGGAGTGGCTATTTAAACGCGGAACTGATCGAATGACTGCTCAACCTATGGTTAGCAATAATAGCCACGTAGATTTAGGGTAACAACGTATAAACTATCTACTAATGACTTAATCGGGGTGCTTAGCATGTATCTATACGGCCCTTTCTGTTCCTTAGAGCCCACCCGCGCTGTACTCTCTTCTATGATCGAATATGTCAAGTATCTGTTGATGCTTACTGGGTACTTACGAGAAATCACCTGTCCACACTTGAGATATAAACGCCGAAGGGCTAATGTATTGGACAGTTGTATCTCCGTAGCCTGTGAACAAAGTATGATAAGCTAGTTGTTTTAACTGATTTACAACATGAGGTTGTCGCCTGAGACCATCACAGGCCAATCCGCTTTCGACCGGTACGCGAAGTAGCATTGCATCTTGCATTACTGCAAGGTCTCGTATTTTGTGGCTGCAGGGGTCTTGCAGCTTTCAGTCTCGGCGGCTCGCCTTCCTATCTCGCAGAAATTACCCAAATATTACTAGACATGAGATGATACTTGGGGCAACGGTACAATACTATGTCGCAAGCGCTCAGGTATCTCTTATAATAATATCATTATGGATCTCGAGCCCGGTCTCCATGTTCTTTTCCCTTATGTCGACCCCTATCTCTATTAGCTGAGAGAACGTTGTTGTCCGGAGAGAATCCTGTTGGCGAGGAACCTATTGCTAGTTCCGGCATTCGACAATTCGTACCTCCAAATTAATATTCCATGCGGGCTTCATCTTATTTTATGACGTGTTGGAGTGTTATGATTTGGTGGATGGTTCTATGCATTCTCACACGAGCTGATCCAATTTGGCCGTCTCCTAACGATGAACTCGAGGAGATCATGTACCAAGTCAAAGGGTACAGGGCCAGAGACTTTGGCGGGACTGTCATTCCATGCTCTAATGAAGCATCCGGCCCCGGTCGACAGAATGCTGCGGAATGGTTGCGGGCAGCGTTTCATGATATGGCTACGACTACGTATCTGAGCAGCATACGGGCTGGCGGCTTAGATGGCTCTTTACAATACGAGCTAACCAGCTCGGACAATATCGGCCCAGGCTTTAATACGACTCTTAAATTTATGGCCGACTATTACACGAGTCGGTCGGGTGTTGCAGATCTAATTGCCTTGGGCGTATACTATGCCGTTAGGTCTTGTGGTGGTCCGGTGGTGCCTGTTGCTGGTGGACGGGTCGATGCTCTTGCGGCTGGTCCCATAGGTGTTCCGCTACCACAGAATACTGCTTTCACATTCGAGCAACAATTTACACGAATGGGGTTTAGCAAGACCGAGATGATCCAAGTCACTGCATGTGGTCATTCCATTGGTGGTGTTCATGAAAATGAATTTCCTGAAATCGTCCCGGTTGGGTCTACCTCGAATGGTGAAGCTCCCTTGGACTCGACTGTTGCAGCGTTCGATAATAAGGTTGTCACCGAATATATTGCTGGTAACACTACCAATCCCCTGGTGGTCGGTCCATCGATCAAGGCCACTAGGAACGCAGACTACAAGGTGTTCAACTACGATAGCAACGTCACAGTCAAAGCAATGGCAGGTGCTGCTGAGTTCAATAGTATATGTGCAACTGTTCTCCAGAAGTTGATTGATACTGTGCCTGATGGAGTGGTTTTATCTGATCCCATTCAGCCATATTCTATAAAGCCAGTTGATATGCAGTTGACACTTAACTCTGACCCGTCGACAATGCAGCTGGCTGGGCTCATACGTGTTCGAACTACTGATATAGGAGGGGATTCTGTCTCTAGCTTAACGCTGAACTACAAGGACCGAACAGGGAGTAACAATTGCGGTAGCACGAATTGTGCATACACGGCAACTCTCCTAGGTTCCACTCAGGGGTTCGATGATCAATTTATTGTAAGTCCGCAACACAGCACGGGGTTATATTCCTAGCCGAGGCCTAATATGTGTCAGTGGTTCCCCATCAATACTGACATCCCAACATCCACGGGAATTTCGTCTTTCACTGTAACCCTTAATATGGCCGACGGAACCACCAAAACGTACGATAACAATGGAAGCACATATCCGATACAAGATGTTATTTTCATTCAACAGCCTCAAAGCTGCCTTCTTTCCGGCACTCTCTCTATTACCGCCGCTGTAAGTTAACATATTTGCTCTTAATCGTAAGCAGTCATTGATTTAACTTATTCTTATAGGTCCGTAACGACCGCAAATCCCTTCCTGTAAATATGTTCATCTCATACAAGGCCTCGACAGGGAACCCTAATCGTCCAGTTCCAACTCTGAAAAGTGCCACGATTACCATGACAGAAGGCACTTGCGTAGGCTTATATACTTTCTATACAGCGGATTTTACCGGCCTTGGTGATCTTGCGTATGCATCAAAGATCGATGTCATTAGCGGGAGCGATTCATCTTCTGTTACCGATGACTTCAATGCCGCAAGCGACCTAGAAGCAACCTGCAAGCCTTTCCAAAACCCACCAACTTCTGCGTGTACCACCGAGCAGCTGTCAACATCTCTCGGATCATCAACTGCCTCATCTACTTCTGTTTCACTATCTACTACTTTCTCTACTACTGTGAGCACAACAAGTACCTCTTCTACAGCACCAGCTGAGACCTTGCAACACAGGCAGGACATTGGTGAGTATGTGCTTGTCGGATGCCAGAAAGAATCAACTGTACAAGGAACCCGGGCGCTCGGCGGTGCCGCATTTGCTTATGATAACATGACACTAGAGGATTGTATGAATAACTGTAGTGACTATATTTACTGGGGTACAGAGTATAGACGAGAAGTATGTAACATTCATACGTCCTTTCCTTTTGACTAATTACAAGTGTGGGACTCCTGGCCGAGCTGATTAGGGAGTTTGCTCCTAAGACATATCTAATTCCTACTCATCGCTTAAAGATGTAACCGCTGACTCTTACTCTGCAGTGTGGGTTTATAAATCCGAAAGAATAGCAACTAGTGAGCAATGCGGCTGACGTTAATATAGGTTACTGTGGCAACTCGCTCCATTCAACAAGCGAAGATGCGCCCTTGACTGATTGTAACATGGTATGCGGTGGAGATGCCACGGAATATTGCGGTGATAGCAATAGGATAGAGCTATACAGTACTACAGCTAGTCAGCCGGCCCCAACTGCTACACTTGCTCCTAAACCAACCGTGTCATCATACGTCCGGGTTGGTTGTTACAATGAGATACCGGGTGGCCGAGCTCTGACTGGAGCAGCCTACGCAGACGATACTATGACATTGGAAATATGCGCGACCGACTGTACTGGATTTGAATACTGGGCAACTGAATATGGCCGAGAGTGCTACTGTGGGAATACCCTTGATAGTCTCAGCACGGCAGCTCCTGACGCTGATTGTCAAATGGTATGTGGTGGGGATATTTATGAATATTGCGGAGCTGGGAATAGACTTGAGCTGTATAAACTAGCAACAGCTTCTTCGGCACTCGCGACGAGCACGTCGAGTCTGGTGTCTTAGATAGCTACCTAACTTACCTAGGTATTTACGAGAAGTTATAAACCGAATTTGA